TTCCCCATGAGCGAGGAGGCCCAGAGAGACGACTTCGTCATTCCCGTAAGACACCCCTCCATCCTCCCCACCATACCCACCAACTAACCCCCCATCTAGTTCGGAAAGGCCAAGATCGAGCGCCCCGGCAAGGACCTCACCATCGTCACCCTCTCCCGCTGCGTCGGCCAATCCCTCGTCGCCGCCGAACAACTCAAGTCCAAGTACGGCGTCGAAGCCGAAGTCATCAACCTGCGCTCCATCAAGCCCCTCGACGTCGAGGCCATTGTCAAGTCCGTCAAGAAGACCGGCCACATGCTCTGCGTAGAGTCTGGATTCCCATCCTTCGGTGTCGCGTCTGAGATTATGGCGCTTACCTGCGAGTACGCCTTCGACTACTTGGAGGCGCCCCCTGCCCGTGTTACCGGTGCTGAGGTGCCCACACCATATGCCCAGAAGCTCGAGGAGATGAGCTTCCCCAGTGAGAGCTTGATTGTCGACTATGCTGCTAAGCTGCTCCGCGTATAAATCCGGACTGTAAGGATAGGAGTTCGGTGAAGCAGCTATTCCAGCGTTTGTGTACTCGATCGGTGCATTGCGTAAGGAAATGAGGGTTTATGTTCAGTGCTGGACTGGAATGAGACTTTGTATGATTCAGATGGCCATTTTCGGTTGAGGTAGACACGTAGGTGCTGGGTTAGAGCATTTTCGATTGCATGTACAAGTATTCTATTGCAACTCTATCTAACGATTGACATTGTTTGGCATCTTGGGGTTGAGGTGAGTGGATGAGAACAGGTCGACTGACATGTTTAGGTTTCCGTCATTTCGGGAGTGCACATGTCATTCTGCTTCATGTCTATCACATGCTGCTGTCGAGGCCTGTGATGTTAGCATCTCACCGCTTCTGTTCGCCGATATGGATCTGAGGTCTCTTACCTCATCTGGAGGGTGTGTTGTGTCCGCTTTCTTACTCTTATCTATCTCTTTCTGTCGCATCTCACTTTACTTCCTTTTTTTCTGTCTACACCCTACTCGCTAATTCAACTCATTGCTTCAGCGGGATGAGTTGCTCCAAGTAAGGTCTGAAAGAGAAAGAGGTAATCATGCTTGCAATGCTCAGCAGCTGCACTAAAGCCGGCATACCGCTCGCATCGAGTTACGCATGTGCCCTCCACGAACAAGAGTCACAATGATTTACTTTGATGGGCACGCGCCGGCACAGAATCTGGTACGAGAAAGAGCATGGCAAAGGTCGAGCGGCTGCGCCTTGACTATAGCCGGAGCGACGAGGTCGCTGGTTTTCATCTTCACTTTCACCGATGAACTCGTATTTTACGATAACGGGTGCCGCTCAGCCTGGAAGCTTCGTCTGGCAGCGCGCTCCCCGTGCCTTACACCACGGCCTAGTACGACAACACGACATTGTGCACGCTCGCAGCAAATACATACGGCACCGTGCCTGCCAGCGCTGGCAAGATGCCGCAACACCAACATACCATAGGCTGGCTCGAAATCGGAGATGAGTTCATTGACTACTACGATGAAAACGAGTCTCCAGCCTACTGCGAAGACGAGGAGTACTTCTATGACGGTCACGGCATGCGGCACACCTCTGCGGATATGCGCTCTCACTGCACAGATACACCTACTCCAGGCGAGGACGTTCACGGTCACTTCCATTACGAGAGCCAAGAATCAGTGGAGCTTGATCGAGCTTGTGTTCACGACGACAGCCAAGAACTAAACGAGCCTGAAGCGCCTGAAGTGCCTGACGTGCTTCCAGAGCCTCTCGCCGCGATGCTAGCCGGCCTACGACAGCTCCCTACGGATGGCTATCGCCCAAACCCACCCGAAGCCCGTTACACCTATAGGGATGACGAATATTCCAGCGAATTGAATGAAATGTTCTCTCGTTTGGACATTCTTCGCACGCTTGGCCCGGATCCGGTGCGTTATGGCTACGACAGTGCGTCGAGTGAGCCCGAGGAGCAGGAGGTAGTTGCCGTATGTTCAGGCGCAGCTTTGCACAAGTATAAGACTAACATTGACATACTAGGAGAGCCAAGAGTCAATCGAGACGACTCCGGTAGAAGATAGAGCACAGCTGGCAAAGACCAACAGAGACGGTATCGCTGGTTGTGAGAAAGCTAAGAGCGACAGCTGCACCAAGAAAAACGACGCGATCAAAGACGCACACCAATCCTTCAACGCCGAAACCGAGTCAATGAACGAATGGTACGAAAACATCAAGGCAGAAGAAGTCATCCTAGACAAAAGAATAGCCTTACACGTTCGCCTGCCTACGAACCAGGTAGTCACTCCAGCTCACAACGCGCTTGTCGAGGAAGATGCAAAGGAAATGATGCTCATCGCCGACTCGTTCAAGGCTGTCAAGACAAGGAAAGCAGATATTCGAGCGACCCTAAAAGCCCGAATTGAGAAGGCCGAGGAGGTGTATGACGGAGAGTGCGCCGCATGGGACCAGCAGATGGTATGCCTTCGCAACATGGCTGAGCTCTCTGGCATTGAGCTAGATGGGGAGGAAGCGGAAGATGACCTCTTGAACGAGCGGGTAGCCCAAGTCATCCGTCTCCAATCGTCAACGCCAGCCCACTCTACTTCACACGCCCGAGAGCCTGCGTCCAGCCATGCCCGATCGAAGCCAAGCACTGCCGCAGACTCAGGCAGGCGCCAAAAGGTTGAAGCAGTGAAGAAGGTTTGCTCTGATTGTGCGCATCTCAAGGTTGAGCTTTCTATTGTAAGTACAGCCAACCTCGACCTTATGCTATGCTAATTGCAAATTAGGCAAACTCAACAATTACCCGCCTCAAATCCAAAGCTCCCATGCCCGACCTCCGCAAATTCGTCAAGCACGGCGAGCAAATCCTCTCCGAGCTCTCAGCGCAACGCGACGCAGCCGACGAAGTCTTTGCCAAAGAACAGCAGAACGAACTGCGCACCGCAGAGGCAGCATCCGAAGACCTTGACAAGGAGTACAAAAGGATCAAGGCCATCTATATCTGCATCGGTGATCTTTGGGAGCACGAGAACGAAGAGCTTTGGAACAAGACGTACAACTTGTGTCGCGTGGAGCTGGTGCGCATCAAGGAAGAGCAGAAGGCGCTTGAGAACCATAGCGCTAGGGATGAGGAGAAAGTGGTGAAGAGGCAGTGGGATGGTGAGAAGATGTTGATGAAGCAGATCAAGTACTACGAGGCCATTCTGAAGCTGGCGAAGAGTGAGGTTGTTAGTTGGTGGGGGGAAGTTGGTGGGCTGGAGGACTCTGATGCTGAACCTGAGTCTGACTAGAGACTGCGCGACTCGATGAGCTGATGAGGGCGCATAGCAGAAGTTAGCACCATCAACACGATGTCAGCTCTACATGTGCATAACTGTAAAATCGCTTGTGTGTGTCTTCGCGTTCACCTTCACTTTCCACCGGGCAGTTTCGCGCTAGTCGCTCCTGCTCTTTTTGGAAGGCTCTCTGACTCCAACCAACACTACGCGACCACAACACTATCCGAGATCAATATTACGGCGACAACTGCGACAACCGCGCCATCTCACTATGTCGTCGGACGCCATCATTAAAGGCCTAAAGCAAGGCAACGCGATTGAAATGGCCTCGCTCGAAGAGGTGAAGGAGGGAATGAGCTCTGTCATTGATGGACTGCTGAAGGAATGCTACAACCGTAGCGATGCGTTGAGCGATCTTATGGAGAAGGTACAACTGGTACGTATTGCTTGATTGTGGTCGTTCACAGACCATGGACTGACGTTAACACATAGGAAAGCTCGAGCGCGGCGGCCAAAACCATGACGGCAGAACAAAAGACCCAGCTTACGAAAATCATTCAAGACGCTATCGGAGACTGCGAAAAGGCTATAGTCAACAATGACATTAAGCGAGCGAACGAACGCAAAGCAAGGGCAGCAACATTCGAAGCTGAGACTGACGTTTTGAACATGATGCGTACTACTGGCCACGCTCAATCAAGCCTGTTCAATCGATTAGAGACCATCCTCCGAGACAATCACGGAGATACCGACATCGCTGAGCTGAACGAGATAAAGAAGGAAGAGCATGATGCCATCGAAAAGGTTCGCGCTTTTCACGCGTGTGCAGTGGAAAGTTTCCTAGACAGGCGAGATCGTCGCCGTGAAGAGATTGAGAACACGCACAAGACATCGCAGGATGCTTTGGAGAAGCAGATCGAAAGTCTTAAGCGCATCGCTGCTATTGCGAAGATTGATCTCAGAGCTACAAGCGAGGGTGATATGTCAGCTAGTGGTATACCATTCGACAGAGCCCAGTGCGGGACTACAAGTGAGATACGTTTCAGATCTCGCGCTGTTGATGGTCATATGAACCAAGGTTCTATCTACAACCCGCTGGCCCATGTTGTCATGGATCCTCGTCGTAATGGCTTTTAGATGAGAGACATCGATACCTGAGTTGTAGAGAGCGGGAGCATGGCTCCCACAGTGCACGGTTTCTAGCGGGATTGCGTCCGAACAGGATGACTTTTGGAAGGGCTCTATGAGCAACGGGGTTATTGAGATTGATTGATGTGCAGACCGTGCAAAGAGTTACGCGATTGCCATCAAAGTAGGCTAGCATGGCAAAAGTAGTTGAAACGTCAAAGATACATCTCCATCGTGCTCATGATGTGTTGAGGCGGATTGCATGACATGTCCATGGACCCTCGATCAACCACATCCTCTGGTTGGCGGCATCCCCACTCACGGTACCAAACTTCATAAGCCGTTGGTGGACATATTGACGTTGTATTTGACAGCTGTACTCAGGGACTTCCGTTGCTCTCCTTTGCAACCTCATCCTTGATCTCCAACGGCAAGGAATTTGTGAGGCGTTTGCCCAGGATGCCCAAGATGGGTTTGATCAGTACAGTAAGTAACGCATATGCTTACTAACATTGAAATACACCTCTTACATTCACGTAACGTCTACTGTCGAGACATGCCCTCAAGGAAGCGACCTGCTAACAAAACAACAGATTCGAAAGCGACACCAAGAACGCAAAGACAAGAAGAAGGCAGTTCGCCAGACCGCACAACGTAGCGAACAGCTTCAGTCCGATACCAACCAAACACCTGTCGAGCCCACAACACCCACTCCAACCCATCACCTCCCCTTCTCAGGTCCAACTCGATTCTTCTCACTCCGCCGCAAACGCGGCGTAAGCATCGGCATGTCCACCTACGAGCAACTCCCCGACGGCGTAGAGCCAGCGTTAATCGATCACTCCTGCCGCCTAATGCAACGTCCCAGCAGAGAAGAGCTACGGAGTAGCTCTCCCTTCGCCACACCCCCACCCGCTGGTGCTGACGCAACCTCAACCCCAACCCAAGACACCAGCCCCAAAACCTGGCTCAGCCGTGTAGGCGGCTCCCTCCGCCGCAAGCCAAGCGGCATACGCTCAGCCTTCTCCTACACGCTGCCTCGGAACTGGAAGACCAACAACAACAACACCGGTGTCAGTGCAAAAGCGCTCGCAGAAACAGCACACGAGTACAAAAAGTCCCAAATCCAACGTCTCAACCCCAGCGACATCGACGCCGCCAACGACGACGGCCGTGGAAGAAGCCCCCTCCCGCACCACTGGCGCGAGCAATCCAGTTCCTCGGTCTCACACTCACGCGATGGAGTCGTGAACAGGATGAGCGATACCACTACTACTACTATGGAAGGAAGTGAGATGGGGGATTGGATTGATCCGGATGAGGAGAGAAGGGAGCAGGAGTTTGAGGACTGGATCGTGCATAATAGGTTGTTTGTTGAGGGGGAGGGGCTGGATGAGGCGAGTAGAAGGGTGTCGAGGGTGAGTGCGGTGTCGAAGAGGAGGTATAGTGATTATTAGGGGAGGGGTTGGGGTATACGATGGGGTTTGAGGGATGGTAGGAAGTGGGGTGGTGAGGGCTGGGGTATACATGAGTGCGCATCTTGATGTCAACAGTGCACATGTGTGTTCCTGGGGTTTACGTGACGCTGGGGTGGAGGTGAAGGCGAGGTACAACTGGATCCCTGTCTCTTGTCAGCTTATTGTCTTTGAAATCTTTGTTGGCATCCCGGGGTGAAGGAGAGGTTTTCATGAGTTCGCTATTGTTCAGTTGGTATCGTAGAAAGTGGAGGTGAAGGCGAATACGTACCTATTGTGACAATAGTAGCTATTGTCAACCATCTCATCTTCGCGTAGAAGCCAGTACTATATAAACAGCTCATCCGACTCCACCTCTTGCTCTTCAGCAAATACCACACCTGCTCATTTTCAAGACATTTCCAAGTTCCCTCTTCCCACCATCATCACCATCATCACCACCACCACAACAGCAACAATGCTGTCCCCGCAGAACAAGCTGCGCATCTTCCTGAGCCTGGTGCTCATCACCATCTTCGCCGCAAGCTCAAATGAGCTACGCATCGCCATCGGCACCCTCTTCTCTTGGGCCCTAGGCCACGTCCTCATCCGCCGACTCTCCCTGTCGATCTCCTTTCGACAAGCCCACAACACCTACATGATGGTGTCGTTTGGCCTGCTGGCGGGCCTAAACGACCCATTTTGGGAAAACACCTTCGGCCGCATCCTCGACCTCTTCTTCGACCGATACCGCTTCGACCCAGACGTGCCTGGGTCGGGCTTCACAGACTGGCACGAAACCTTCCGCCGCCGAAAGGCATACGAGATCGATCTCGTTTGGCAATACCTCCGCACCGCGCTCTTCTGGTCCTTCGTCGCCGTTTTCCTCGCCGTTGCCGTTCCGCTTGTCCGCTGGTTCACTCATGAGAGTCAGACGACGAAACTGGAGCGGGCCTTCGAATACATGAGAGATCACCCTGGCGAGCGACCTCCCTGGTTGTGCAAGCAGCCAGAGGCCACAGTGGTGTCCAAGAGGGACACAAGATACAATCGCCTGAGCAGCGAGCTCATCTTCGTGTGTGGCCCTGGTGGTGGGCTGGAGACGGTGATCGATGGCGACATCGAGGGCGCGATCTCTCGCCGGCGGGCGCTGAGGCCGAGGTTCGCATGAGCGCTGGTCGCCATGCTGGTGGGGTTGTGGTTGGCGGTGGGCCATCTTGACGCTGGTCGTTGGGGTGGTCAGGGTTTCTTGTTTCCTTTTGCTTGGGGTTTGGGTTTGAGTGTTGTCGGCGGCGGGCTGTCCTGGCGCTGGTCGCTGGGAAGCCCAGACCGGTCGGTACTCTTCATATAGATTGGTGGATGAAGTAGTACTTCGGGGTTGTTTCCGTCGTCCTACGGTTGGACATGTTTGTGAGACCCAGTCTGGCTTGTCCCGATTGCAGTTTTCGAATGCATCTTTCTTCCATCCCGCTACAATGTTCTCCTCAAGTCTGCGTGGAGGCCTCTACCAACCTCCTCTTCATATACAAATCGTGTATCCGGGCTCATGGGGTTGCGATTAGTGGGGACGGGTATTTGGATCGCTTCGCATACGTGCTCTAGCAGATCGGGAAGTAGTTCATTGACTTTGGCTAGCAGTAAAGGTATGAACTTAGAAGAGCCGCCTGGTAGCTTTGCTATCAACAGCATCAACTGGGTCAAGTAATCTGGGGGGCTGAATTCGGCATGTGATGCAGACCGAGGCACGAAATGAAGAACGTCCGCTAAAGCGCAGGCTATGTCGAATACCTTTTCCGTCTAATGTTGTTAGCAATGAGACAAGCTTGCGGCTGAATGACGTACCATGCCGACGCCATGTATCTGCAGACTCTGAACGGGTAGCTTCATCGAGAGAATGGTCAAGTCTTTGCCGACCAGAATGGGGTATCTGAATGTTAAGCAATCGTAAACAGACTCTATGGAGAGAAACCCGAAGCGGGGAAACAGCTCCCATAGTTTGATCTGTAGCCAGAACTGCGATATGCGAACATTTGCAATCTCTTCGTTCGAAAGTTCGAGATCAGTGGGCAGCGCGGTGCGAACATCGTTCTCGAGCTGGATTAACCACTCTTTACTGCAGTTTTGCGCAGCACCGTTCCACACTGCGAAAAAGACTTCATCGAGCGGTCGGAAGACTGATGCGAGGTGGAGCAAGCCAAGATCATCATGACCATCGAGTGGGTAGCTTGAGGAAGTGACAGATAGTGTGATGGGCCGATTCCTACGAACGCCATGCGCTCTAACAACTAGTAAGCAATACACTCATCACGATGACCATGGGTACTGAGAATCGTCGCTGTCTTCGCTCGCAGGTGGGACTGGATAGACGAGAAAGGGACGAATGGTATCATGAAGTCGGAAGTGCATATGATGAACCACGATGCATCGAAGTGGGTGAACAGACGTAGGAAAGACGGGAAGTATTTAGCGTACCTTTCTGACACTACCAGAATCCAAAACAACCGTGTCCTTGTCTTCATGTCGAACCAATCCCTGTCCTCGTCTTTAAGCATCATGAACAAGGTTGTTGCTTCTCTCAAATAGAACCACGCCTGACGATAGTCCCCTCGGCCAGCGTAAGCTCCGTACAGAAAGAAGGAGATGTAGACTGATCGATGGTCAAGCTGCGTAATCCTATCTCGCTGCAGCGAGAGCAAGGTATGGTCTAAGTAGTAGATTTGTGAGTCCGTTTGTGAAGACTGTGTAGATCCGCAATTGGCATTAGTGGAGGCTTCCGCAAAGTTTGCCATGTATGCGCAAAAGGCATATATGAGCTGTCGAGATGTCGGCCAAGTCTGCATTTGCATGAACTCTTCTCGCAGTCTTTCGGCTGGTATGAGAGCTACTATCCTGTATATGCGCTCCTCGTAAACATCGACCAACGTTTTGAAGACTTCCCTTGTCAATTCCACAGCGTTGGTAATGACCGCGGTCGGGGCAGCATCCTGTGGGTCGAAGACGTCGGCATCGTTATGGGGTATCGCTCTCAATTCGTTGAGTACGTTAGCCCTGGAACCTGTGCGACCTCCTTGACCCCGTGGTGCGTTGAAGGTGCAAGCTAGTTTTGCCGATAAACATCCTGCGCAAGGTTGCGCGCCATTGCACTTGGTTTTGCGGCGACGACACGGGTCACATGCCTTTGTAACTTGTTTCCGGTAGACTGTTCTAGACACGGTGTTCTGCATCAAGCTCGAGTGTCTACCTGGGGTTCATGATGTTGATTAGAGATGCGAGGAGGCGTGGTGTGGAGTGGCCGCAGCCCAAGGTAGCCCGCCCGCTGGTCAGACGCGTCGCGTGATGCCGAGGCTGCTTACGTCATGTCAACACACTAATCAAGCAGACCTCGGGATGCGCGTCACTGAAGAGGCAGGACATCGCCAACACGAACAACTACTTGCGAACATAGCTCATCAGCGTTTCAGACGCGTAAAACTATTACATCGGCGCCGCAATTATGGCTTCTCTCACTCCTTCCATTCCGAGCCCACGGCAGCCTTCTCATCCGCGACACGCCCATGCCTGTACGGGTCGACCTGCGTGCTAGCAAACTTCCTGGCGCTGACCCTCTGCTCGAATAACATATCGAGCTCTCCATACGTCCGGCCCTTCGGCTCTGGGAGCCTGAAGTACACCCACACCACAACACATCCGCAGGTACCTGCCCAGAAGAACGCCGTCTTCGCTCCCCAGGCCCAGTTGGCATCACCAAGCTGGTAGTTCGTCAATACGTTGACCACAATATTCGATATATTGTACAGCGCTCGCGCGAGTACTATAGTCTTCGCCTTCAATCTAGTGGATGACATCTCAGACACGATTGAGTAGGTGACGGGACCGATCGTGAAGTCGTATACGAAGACGAACATAATCAACACCGCGCCAATAGCCCAGTTGGAGGCTTGGGTACCAGCAAAAGAGCATGATCCAACGATTATCAGGATAATGAAGAGTGTGCAGCCGCCGGAGAAATGGATCGTTCGTCGACCGAACTTTTGCATGAGGTACCACGAGCCAGCAGTACCGACTAGGCCTAGGGCGAGTGAGATCATCGACATGTTGAAAGATTGTACGGTGGGGAGGCCTGCCTTCTGCATGAAGTATGCGCTTCATGATGTTAGCCCCGAGTCCCTACTGACTTCACGTCTAATACTGACAAGTAACCCATGATGTTGGTCCCGCAGATTGTCTGAGCAATCCAGGTGAAGCATACGATCTCGGTTCGTCGGAGATCGGTTCCCTTGAACAGGTCCGTCCATCGGGTGCCTTCTGACATGTTCTTTTCCATTTCGTTGGTATGCTCAATCATGGCGATCGTCTCGTCGGCGTTGAAGTTCGGATCCTTTTCCGGCGAGGTCAGACGAAGCAATGCAGCTTTAGCGCCTACTTTGTCGCCTCTGCGAACATGCCACCACGGACTTTCAGGCGCAAGAAAGACACCGACCATGATCGGTATGGGCCAGACCCATTGTACGGCAAAAGGGATACGATACGCCCATTGGTCTGAACGTTGGACGCAGCCGCGGTTTACACCTGCAGCTATAAATTGTCCCATCACCCAGCACCTGGAAGGTCGTTAGCATTCGGTCTCGTAAAAGGCGAATGCAAATGCTTACATGTTGACGAACGTGGTCAGAATCGGCCTCAGACGCACAGGTGCAACTTCCGATGCATACTGCGTTGTGAGGGTCTGGAACATGCCCCACGGGATCCCGCAGAAGACTTCGCCAATGACCAGAGTCTGAACATTGGGCGCAAAGAACAGGATAAAGATGAAAGCAGTCATCGATATCAGGGCACCTATCATGGTCTTCCGATACCCATACCGCTCGCTAACGAAGCCGTTGATGACAAGACCGATGACCTCGCCAGCTCGTGCTCCATTGGATCTGACGCTATCAGTCACAACAAAACCTCGGGTAACGTGTCTTTGATACTCACAGTGCGCTCTGCCAACTGGCTTGAACACTGTACTTGCCAGTAGCAGCGTTCAGAACTCCGTATTTGCGATTGAACTGAGGGCTGCCGTACAAACTCCCCAGCAATGCGAGATCGTAGCCTTCCATGATCAGAGCACTCGACAGAACGACTGACCAACCGACGGCTTTTGGGTAAAGTTTGATCGCCTGAACGAGGCTCATAGATTTCTCATCGTCAGCTGCATGTTGTGCCTCCTCATTCGGCGCTGCGAGTTGTGTCGCCGTAGGTTGCTCAAAGTCCTTGTCTGTCATTGTCGCAATGAGTGGCAACTCGGGTGAAAGAGACTGGAAGCGATGCCATGTTATTGAGGAGGCGTGGCAGGCTTATAACCATCTCCAAGTACAGATGATCATGGTCAGAACAGGGTTGCCTTTGATGCGGGTTAGCGAGGGCCCAGCACCTCGGACCTCCCCATGGTGCCCCAGCTTTGGCATGGAAATCGCTCATACTACGCCCAAAATTACTCCTACAGCACCATAGAACGCCAATTTCTCGTGATTACGAGTTCTCTTGTTGCCGAATGATCGGAAACAACGCAGATGGCCTATGGTGGTTCGGCGAACCAGTAGATTTTCACGGAGCCAAGGCGGAGGCGATGCGGAGGCAACACGGAAGGAACACGGACGCCACATTGCGGGGCTAACACGACTCGCACCAGGGTGCCAACCGTTTACAAGCAGTCACCAAAACAGCGAATGAGAATTGACATCACAATGGACTGCATGACGATGATCATTGGGACGGAGTACAGACCAAAGTGTAGTTTTCTGGAGCCTGCAACGACTTCTCTCCTTCATCTCCCACTCCGTACAACAAGCGGTCATCCTCTTGCTACTGCCTGGCTTCCACCAGTAACTTCTCATCGATCCATGGATCATATCTGCTTACGAATAGCTTGCACCCACCAAGTCTCACAGTCACAGATATCCGAAGCTCAGTACACATAATTTGTCCGTCAACTATCATGTCACCACATGTGGACCTTTCTTACCACAAACGCATGTGGTGGAAGGAAGCAACATTCTATCAAATCTATCCGGCATCTTTCAAGGACAGTGATGGCGATGGCTGGGGAGATATCCCAGGTATACTTGAGAAGATCAGCTACATCGCGTCCCTTGGTGTAGATGTGGTATGGCTATCGCCCATGTTTGACTCACCGCAGATTGACATGGTAAGAATCATGATGTACGAATTATATGGACGGTCGCTGACCTCGTGCCTCAATATGTCAGGGCTACGATATTTCCGACTATGAAGGCGTATATGCACCGTACGGCACTGTCAAGGATGTGGAGAAACTCATCAAAGCCTGCCACGATAACGATATGAAGATCATCCTCGACCTAGTTGTAAACCATACAAGCGATCAGCACGCTTGGTTCCAGGAAAGCCAGAGTTCTAGAGATAATCCGAAAAGAGACTGGTACTTCTGGCAACCAGCACGCTACGATGAGCAAGGCAACCGCATGCCGCCCACCAACTACCGCTCATATTTCGCTGGTGGAACCTGGACTTGGGATGAGCACACGGAAGAGTACTACCTCCACCTATACGACAAGTCGCAACCAGACCTCAACTGGGAGAACAAAGACTGCCGGCAGGCGATATACGACTCAGCAATGCGCTTCTGGCTCAACAAAGGCATCGACGGCTTCCGCGTAGACACCGTAAACAAGTACTCCAAAGTGCTCCCCTTTACCGATGCGCCTATCACCGATCCAAGCAGCCCCATCCAACCTGCCGCCCAAATGTGGTGTAACGGGCCCCGCATCCACGAGTTCATCAAGGAAATGAACCGTACCGTCCTCTCCCACTACCGCACCTACGACAACCAACCCGTCGTAACAGTCGGCGAACTCTCCTTGTGTCCAGACCCTGCCTCCGTTCACCTCTACATCAGCGCCGCACAAAAGGAACTAGACATGGTGTTTCAATTCGACATCACGCATCTCGGTCAAGGCCCACCAGGCTCTGACAACAAGTACGACTACGCTACTTGGACACTACCAGACATGAAGCGCATAGTAGAAAAATGGCAATGCTTCATCGAAGGCACAGACGCATGGACAACCGTCTTCAACGAGAACCACGACAATGGCCGCAGTATTTCCCGCTTCGCCAACGATGCACCCGAATGGCGAGTCGCCAGCGGCAAACTACTCGCTTTGTGGCTAATCGGTCAATCGGGCACTTTGTTCCTATACCAAGGCCAGGAAATCGGTATGATCAACGCGCCGTCCTCCTGGGATATAGAGAGCGAATACAAAGACGTCGAAAGCCAGAACTACTGGGCCGAAGCCGTGCGGTTAGCACATAACGGGACGGATCCTACGCGTAAAGAAAGGATAAAGAGGGGTTTACAGCGTATGGCTAGGGATCATGCGCGGTTGCCGTTTCAATGGGATGACAGTGTCAACAGTGGGTTTTCGACGGGAAAGCCGTGGATGAGGGTGCATGATGAGTATGGTAGTATTAATGCGGAGGCGCAGGAGAATGATGGGGGGAGTGTGCTTTCGTTTTATAAGTACGTTCTGAAGCTTAGGAAGGAGCATAAGGATGTCTTTGTGTATGGGTCGTTTGAGTTGGTGGATCCGGAGGGCAAGGAACTGTTTATCTATCGGAAGAGGTGTGAGGGGAAGATGGCGCTTGTGCTGTTGAATTTTACGACCCAGGAACGGGAGATGGAATGCGATGTAGTAGGGTTGAAGTTGCTTGTGAGTTCGTATGGAAAGGCGACGGGACAAGTACTACGACCGCTGGAAGGAAGGATTTACATCGACTACTGAGCAAGTGGAGTCGAGTGTTCTTGCGAGAAAGTGTAGACGTTTGTCGATGCGCTATCAAGGGTATACTACAATGCAAAACTCGCACCACACCTTCCTCTTACTGTCCTACCCATCGTCCAACGATCGGAAGATACTTGTACAGCTCATCGTACTCTTTGCCTACCCAGCCTACCATCTTGCCGTCTCGTCCAACGACACCCAAACCACCCGCAAGCCATAGTGCTGTCAGAGCTGCGCTAATGCCGTTGATAGTGTACCACCTCCTCTTCCGGATCAAAGCTCTGTTCTCTTCCGTGTGCTTGACCTGACTTGGTGCAAAGCCCAACCATTTGGCTGCACCCCAGACGAAATGCCACACCCCAACTCCTACCAGTGCTGTGAAACCGGTGAAGGAAACGGCAGGGTGTAGTGCAAACCCATGGGAGATATATTGCAGATTAATCAGCGACGAATCACCATGCGCATACAACGGAAGAATCCTCGTAGTCCAAATATGGAAACTAGCAAAAGGCACCAAAGCATAACCCAACGCACTCGTCCCACTCAATGCCGGCCAAGGAATCGTGCGCTTATCCGTTCGCGTCTCAGCGCCGTATCTTTTCAGCGCTTGTCGCCTTCTCCATAGCCGCAGTGCGATTCCAGAAGTGACGTGTGCGACGAGGGGGAGGCCAACGAGGAGGGGTTCCGTGAGCGCGGATTGGTAGTATGGTCGTGTGAGCAGGAGGTAGCGGTTTGATTCGAGGACGGAGCGGGTGGCGAGCGGTATTATGGAGACGTTTGTTATGTGGAGGGCGGCGAAGGCGGTGAAGGTGTAGGAGGAGTACTTTTGTATGCGGAGGACTGGGGAGTGGTGGTCAGCACTGTAGCTTCTTGGATCAAAGATTGTGGGGAGACGTACGCCACCAAGCAGGCCCGTGGTCACCTAACCGCAATCCCAAAGTGTTCATCCTCCTTATCCCTCTCATCTCCTCCGTCTCTTTCTCAGGCCGATCCTCATCCGGAACCGGGAAATATTGATTAACCTTCAACTCTTCTGGTGTGTCGACGGGCGAAGGGTCGACTTCGGTGAGGCCCATGACGCCCATCTCTTCGTCTTCTACCGGTGGCAGACCCGGGCTCTTCTCCATCTTGTGGGTCGTGTCGTGGTGTTGCGAGGTAAGGGAAATGCTACGTTGCTGAGACATGGAATGACGTTGATTCGGTGAAGATATAAGTGGGGCGCTGCATGCCACGCTGAGCCGAGGCGCGTGCTGTTGAGCCGCAACACCAAATGTGCTATCACCACGCGCGACTACGCGACTGAACGACTGCACGACCCCGGTACCACACGTTCTCACGAATCGCTTACGGAGTTGCTATCACTGGTGATATATCACCTCGTTCACATCCCTACAGCGCGACACACCTCACACAGTCGCGACCATGCCACCAGTGCGCCCACCCAAACCCAACCCTCCCACGCATCACTAACACCCCTCTCAGCGAAACAACCCCCTCCCAGCGGCCGTCCGCCTCTTCAACTGCACAATCTGCGACAAAGGCTACCCACGGCAACTCGACTACGAAAACCACCTCCGCTCCTACGACCACAACCACCGCCAACGTCTCGCCGACATGAAGAAACTGACTGCCTCCAACGATACCGAGAGCAACAAGCCAAAGCAGGGGCTAGAGATGCGGAGTATAGATGTGGAGAATGCGAATAAGAAGCCGGGGGTTGGGAGTCGGTTTACGAAGATCGGGGGTGGTGGTGGTAATGCTGCGGCGGGTGGTAGGTTTAAGAAGGTTGGGGTTGCGGTTGGTGGGAAAGATGGGGTGGAGGAGAAGGCTGAGGTGGTGGTGGTTAAGACGGAGGATGTGGCTGAGAAGAGTGTTGAAGTACCGGTTGCGGCTGCGATGCCTGTTGCAGAGGCTGAGGTCAAGAAGGAAGAGGACACTGTCATGGCGGATGATGCAAAGACAGACGAGATAACATGGGAGGAGTACGACTTCACGAAGCCAACTGGATGCAATCACGCGAGCTGTCCTGGATGCAAGACAGATGGCATCTGGAGTGGTGGATGGGTGTCTGTGGATGCTGTTTGAAAGATGCGTTCATCGTTTTTATTTTGACATTTACGCGGTACTCATACCCAGGATAAGGCCATAGTTGGGACCTTTCTACATTGCATAGAATCGGCGTTCAGGAAGCCAGTACTCAGTCCGCGCTCGCGACGTTCCAGATATTTGTAAGTGTGTTTCAATCAGTCTACAATCGCTTCCCCCCAAAGTCTTCATCATTCCCTTGATTCTCGTGCCACGAGAGTGTTCACTGGTGCTTAATCGCTGCTTCGACTGACCACGAGAGCAGGCTTCATCCACAAATGCTGCTATATTTCTATCCAATCTTCGTTGTCGGACTAATCTGAGTCCTGGCTGCGTTCACGAAGCGCGGCCTTGAGGAGGGTGATGACATCCTCTTGCGGCAACAATCTCAACACACGATCGCGACCTGCTACGGTCAATTGCTAGAGATCGCCCAGTAGACCGTCGGTCTGAGCTGTGTCATTCGTGTTATTGACTGTGGTCGAGGAAGACATAGTGTTGACTGGAGCAGAGCAACGTTGAGGGTGATCGGAGATGTACATGAACGCGCTCACACGCTCTGAGCGTGGATTATCAGTGCTCATCATTTGAACGAAACACAGGAGATCGCGGCTATCAAGGTATCAAGTTGTGGTCTACACTCATCACAGTCAGGATATTCGTGAGTGTATTCAATTACCCTACGACCCCCATGCTGCGAAGTTTTCTTTTGGTCACCCTCGCTTGATGTAATCCTCTCTTAGGTGTTGCTGCTTCATCGCAACCTGCAGAGAAAGTGCGTTTTGAGACATGGAACCTTCCGAAGACAGCTGATCAGATCCTGACCATCATAGCGAACGAAAGGTGCACGTTACTTCGCTCAGCAGACAGTCTGTCACTCCCAAGTCTCACTTCTCCACGACCCAGTACCCGAGCTCATCCCAGTTCTGCCCCTTCCTCAGAGCTCGAGGTAGAGGGACGAAGAGTTTTCCGAACTCGTCGTTGACCTTGATGACGTGGGCGCAGGGGTGGCCGCTGTTGATGCATTTATCGCACGCGGATTTCTTGTGCTTGCCGCCGTGCCCGAACATGGTGCCCCTGACCCTCGAACCACGGATGATGAGGTTGCGGATACAATACTCCTTGTCGGTGTACAACTCTGGCTTCGAGGTGATTCTGCCGTACTCTTTGACCCTTCCCTCTTTGCAGTCCCACATGGCCTTGAAGCGGTCTTCGAGCGCTGTTTGGACAGGTTGTGGAAGATCATGAACGTCTCGGGGAACAGCGTCACCGTCCTCGTTTCGAAAACGAATGTACGCGTGCAAGTCCACTAGGTGTATTTCCGCATCAGCGGTGACATCGCCTTCTAGCTCGGCTACTGGCTGTGACGGTTGCTCTTGGACCTGGTTCCGCTCCGGTTCTGACCGTCTTCATTAGCGAATGGCTGACATTGTCAATGTGGTACTTACCTCTCAACCTGCTCTGCGGCTGGTGCCCTTGACCCTGATGCTGCTCCGGTTCTGATCGTATCCATTAGCGAATGATAGGAATTATCAATGGTGTACTTACCTCTCAGCCTGCTTCGCTCACGGAGGGCTGCCTGTAGAGCGGCGACGGCATTTTCTTTCGGGAGTATCTCCAAGATGTGAAGGCGGTCTGCCTCTGGCAATTTCTCGAGGATGTCCAGGAAATCGTTGCTGCTCGCGTTAGCCTGCATCTTGTGTTGCTTGGATTCGTGTTCAAGGTTCGGCTGGCGACTGGAGGTGACTGGGGGTGCGAAGGGGAAAGCTCCGCGTATGACCAGATAGTTCCAGAACTGTTTGTTGTTGATTAGGCAACCTTGGCGGAGCACTCTCAAGGGGCGGTAGACTGGCGGTCACCTAGCGTAGCGAAGCGACACGCTAAGAAGCTGGTAGCAAACGAAGAGACTGTTGCGCTGCTATGAATTTTGGTGCAGTGGATACTTGAAACCTGTGAGGTACAAGCGTGGCTCTGTTTGATGCTGCTATTGTCTAACACACTTTGTCTGGCTCAACTTGTTTAAATCCTTAGCTGTTAACGGGTTCACTTGCTTACTTAGAGGACTATCGTATCTTTCTTTCCTAAAGCTGAGCAGCTCACCAAGCAGCCATAGGTCGCATGCTATATTCTTGCGCCTCTCACTACCGGAGCTCGTGCAACCCCAAGTCACTGTGACGTAGTTCTGCCCCCGCTGCTGATGACCTACAACCACGATCAGGCTAAGGCTGATCATTGCCCTTCGTCAATGTGAATCAAGTCGATCCCAAATTCTATCGCACGATCAAGAGGCCTCTAAAAGATTGAAGACTTTCCGTAAGAGATTCGGAACGAAAATGATGAACTCTGGATGAACTGAGACCTACATATCAACAGCCTATCCGCTCCTCATCAGTGAGACCGCAAAGCAAACTCAGCGCAACCCCAGCCCCGAAACGTCAACCGAAGGTGGTAAACCCAACAGCAGCTCGCTCATAACCCTCCCACTTCCAAGCGACAATGTCACACCATCGTCAAAGTGAGCCGTGTTCAGAAACAGACCCCCTGGACCGTACCGACTATCCTGGAGATCATCCTCTTGCTCAGCAGAAAGCGGCCTGTCCTGGGAAGTATCGTCCATACCCAGCAACTCCCACTCCATCTTCATAACGATAGGATGTCCGAACTCCGCAAGCGGTCTATAGCACCTCCCCACCGCAAAAACATCCAACTCCTCACCCTCCGGCACCATCAGATACCCCTTCACAATCTCCATCATCCTCTCAACCTCATCCGGCTGCGCATGCACATCCTCCGCAAGTTCAGGAAGTACTTCCTGTTCCGCTCCCCATCCACCGACATACAACTCACCCCCCGAAAAACTAGTGATGTCGAGACCCTGTCTACCCGGAACATCGCTCTGGAAGAAGACTTGTTGACTTCCTTTCTGGTCGTCCTCTGGTTTCCAGTTAGGTGTGCGGACGCGGAAATGGTTTCCGGCTGAGGCTGTGGAGTTCATTGGGAGTTGGGAAGATGCGTGAGGGAAGAGTGTTGAGAAGACGTTTGGGGACCAGGGTCCTGCTGCTATGACTAGGCTTCTGCAGGGTATGCTGAGGGGATCGCGATCTTGTTGCTTGATCTGGATGCTTGTGAAGTGTCGCGATCCTGGTGCTGCCTGAACTGATGTTGCGTTCGCGTTGAAGATGAACTTAACGCCCAGTTTCTTGCACTCGCTGAAGAGAAAGTGGCAGAATTGAGCTGGATCGCTTATCGGTCAGTCTGAAGTCATCGCAATAGAAAGGCGAACATACAGATGCGATGCGTGAGGGGGCCCAGCCATACGCTGCACAGACCAATGGCTCTCAGTTTTGACCCAGTCAGGAAGCGCAGACAAAGGCTGTTTGACGGGAGGAGTCGGACCCCAACTATCAGATGGCTTAGGCATGCTCGTGAAGTCGTCGGGTATGATCCGGTAAATGGTAGACTCGCTAAAGCCGAACTCCTTCATCCCATTCGCGAGAGCCAGTTCCTGAAAGAGCTTGTAGGACAGAACGCCCAAATCAGCGACACCGCTCGCAAAGCCGAAATCTCCAAGTCCACCTGTCGCTTGACCAGAGGCAGCAGGAGTGATATGCGCAGCTCGTTCAATGACGATGATCTTGCCGTGTGGCCTGGTCGTGGCATTGACGGTCTTTCGGTGAGCGAGTGCGAGCTGGTAGGCCGTCGCGAGGCCGATGACACCTGCACCCAGAATGACTGTATCATCCCCCATCATTTCGTTTTCCTGAGGAGTCAAAGGTTGCTGCGACTTCGACCAGGTTGTGTCCGTAGTTGGAGAAGCCAGGGTGCGGGGCCGCCACAATGCAAGGAGAAGGAAGCTGCTTATGGGGTGCATGACAATGTGCAATGCTTCACCGAGCCGGTGTCAGGGAATTGTACTGAGGCGTTGGAAGTTTTGCGAACGTCGATGCTGATTATAGTTCTTGTGATGCGGGGAAGTCTGTAATGGCGGTTGCCGTACGCTCTTGGGTCTGAGCTCAAGCGGCGCGTTCACCGTTTGGCGTGGGCTTAGCGATCAGAACAGCGTTTGTACAATTTGCAAGACATCATTCTCCATTGCTATTGGTGGCATTTACGTGTGCCTACTCTTCGTCATTCATATGTCATACTGTCATACAAGGTCCATCTCAACTTCGTCGACTCGGCTTCATGACCCTCCTCATCTTCTTGCACTCAGCATACACGAGATATCTCGCCCACGCTTAAGCACATCTACTTCCACTCCCAACACTCCTCCACCATCCACTCAAAGTCCTGGAACTTGACAACCGCACCCACACTCAAGATCTCAGGCCTGAAGGTAACGCCACAAGGTAGGAAACCATCGCCGACCCTCACAGTCCTGTTCCACTTCTCCACCTCTGACTTTGCGCCGTTCCCACCAACCTTCTCCTTCGCAGTCTTTCCCTCGCCATTTTCCCACTCCCATCGCTCAACAGTAACCTTGCCACCCCACATGAGAATACCCTGGCAGTACTGTCCCAGCCTCACAACCACACCTCTGACACCCGCGTGATCAGCCTGGCACCGCATAACCACACAGACCATACTGCCCTTCTCATTCGTAGATACGGCGTCGACGTCCCTCCACATCTCCTCGTGAGTCTTGACCGCACCAAGCGCCGGATGGTATCCGTGTCCATGCTCCAGCGTCAATCCGGGAGCGATGGGATACATGTCACCCTCATCAACAGGGATGTTCTTGTGGCCAACTGGGAAGCGTGAGTCCAGCCAGTGAGTCCAGGTAGAGTGTGTGACGTTGACCCAAGTTTCTTCCTTGAGCTTCTTGGCAGACTTCCCGTGCTGTGGGCCGGTGGGGGGAGGCGTGATGGATACGCTGGTGGAAGTGCCGGTGAAGGCCCAGTCTAGGTGAGCTGAGTTGCCTACGTTGGTGCTCTCTTTGACGGACGCGGGACCAGCGCTGTTGGAATTGATGGTGTCCTTCGAGAACGACTTGTAGATACGAACATCGACGAAGGTGTGGTTAGGGCTTGTCAGTACCAGAGTAGATGTAGGCTCGAACTGGTGAGATGGCAGGTTCAGCGGGTTCTTGTGAGGGAGATGGATGGAGTAAGGGATCTCGGTGTTTGGTGGTAAAGGGTAAGGGAGGAAGTAGATATACTCGCGCTTGCTGATGTTGGCAGCACTTGGGTCTTGAAGAACGGGCTTGGGACCGTGAGTTGTAGTGATGGTGAAGGAACCACCGCCATCTTCTGGCTGTGCGGGAGCTTGGAGAGAAGGTGAGACGCCCTTGTTGATTGCTGAGGATGCCATGGCGTCGGTTTCGGTGCCGGAGTCTGGGGGTGTGTAGATGATGGGGCTGGTGTTGGTGCTTGATTGATCGCTGAGATCATACGGTTCTTCGTTTGCTTGTGCCGCGGCGGGGTGATTCTTGGCCTTGATCACCATTTTGGATTTGAGTCTGATTTCTTTTCGAGGGGGAAAGGTCAGAGAGACTAACAGTTACCGTGATGTTGAGATAGGCGTGAAAGCGAAAAGGACGTTGAGATCTGGACAATGAGTCAGTATTTCAGGGCTTTGCATCAATGTCTCTCAGATTTCAACGATCTGAGGAGGATACAACAGCTTTCCACGGTGTACGTGGATGCCAATACAACACTAAGATGTATACAGTGTGGGAGTTGAACGCGCAGGAATTGCCTTTGCGGGAGCGTGCCTCCTACCGGCTTGCTGGGAATTGTTGAGGGGACTTACCATGTGAGTGCTTGAGGACTTCGTAGCTTGTACCTGGCACGTTTTGCGTGGTGTTGTGGTGTTGTGGCAGATACGGCGTGAGGTGGGGGAGCTTATAGCAACAAGAACCGCGCTAGCGACGTCCGTTTGCGCAAGGTGATCATCAATACTAGAATTCGAGGTGAATGTCAATTTCATACTGCTCGGTCAAATGGCACGTCACGAATGATCCTATCGTACCCTACAACAAAGAGTGGTATCGCTGGAAGAGACTGTAGAAGAAATGACGAACAGATGAATGGAAGGCACGGCTTGCATTTGCAAAACTAGGTATCATTCACATGCTGTCATTTATTTTGACAGACCTAACCATGACGCCGCCCATGCTGGGAAAGCCCACGCTGGGAAAGCCCACGCTGGGAATACCCATTGCCGAATCGTAATCCTGACTTTTGTATTGTCGTAAGCCATAGCAAAGAACCAAGCAGCTACTTCAGCGAATAGCTTATTTCTTCTTGGAGTCGGCCTCCTCGGCCTTAGCCTTCGCGCGCTTCTCACGGACACCGACAAGGCGGGCCTCGGAGCGGGCGTCACGGAGCTTGCGGTAGGCGTTCTCGGTAGCCTCGTAGTTGCCAATGGGGCCCTCCTCAAGTTGGATGACGTTCTTGATGGGCAGAGCAGCGGCGGTGGACTGGACGAGGTTGTCGGCGCTCTTGGCGGCCTTGACGTCCTCGGCGGAAGCGTCACCAGACTTGGTCTTGCCGTTGCGGCGGGGGAAGAGGATGAGGCGCTTGCGGTACTCCTGGAGGCGCTCGACGTTGGCCTTGAGGCCCTCCTCGGAAAGGTTCTGACGGCGGGGGTCGACAGAGATACCGATGGTGCGGGCGAACTTGCGGGGGATACCGGCGGCTGCCACATGTTAGGAGCGCTTTGCGCAATTGGGTAGAGCAACATACCCTTCAGCTCAGCAAGAGAGAAACCACGGCCGGGGCGGACACGGCGGTTGTACTTGATGGTAGGGCAGCGGACGACGGGCCTGAGCTTGTCGACGGGCCTAGGGGCTACCTTCGCAGCCTTCGCAACGCGAGCATTGCGTCTGGACTTCTTCTTGCCAGGCTATCGTACTGTCAGAAATCTGAACACAGGCGCCACTACTCTCAGCGACGTGAGAGGGGAATTACCTGGTCGAAGTGGCAGCGGACGTAGCGTTGCCTGGAGAATGTTAGCCCAACGTCATCAACGTGTCCAGTGTCTTAATCGCGAACTCACCAGTCCTTGTGGAAATGGTTCTTCTGAATCTGCTGGTTGTGCTTGATCGCCATTGTGTCGGATTGTCTGCCCTAATCAGCCTTCGTCCTTCGCTCGTAAAAGTGTGTGGAAGCGCGCAGTGTCGACGGCGATTTCGATTTGATTGCGCTCGTTCGATTGCGCACTCCGACGATGGTGAACGTACCTCGATGGCTGACCTGTGGGTTAGTTATCGTACGGCTGTCGAGGAAGAAATCTCGAAGTTCGCTCGCCAATTTCGACAGCCTTCCTAGCGCTAGTGGGCCAACCGAGTTTTCGGCGGCACGTTTTGCCGACGCCGACACTAGCGTGATGGGTCGGCTTGCGCTGCAACACCAATGACGACCCGCTACTGGAACACAAGTTTCTGTCGCGAAAGCTACCATGGTGTCCTGGTCGATTGAGTGTGGTTACTTTGAGCATACTCATCATTCTTATCGCTGTACCGGATGCTTCACTCCTTCAACGATGATGAGAAACTTGATCACTCTGATACAATTGACTGGGAACCGCTTTTTGCTTAAAGTATCGCTACATCCATTCGAAACAAACTGTAAACAATAATCTAAACATCCCTATAGTACTCCCCTGTAGTGAGCACACAATGTACACGAAGACATTACAAAACGCTAAAATGTGTCCAAAAAGAAGTGAAACCGCACAAGTGCCTTCTAGACCAACCCCGGCACCACAAGAACCTTCAAACCACCACCCTACTAAAAAGGATCAAGAATCAAAAACCACCATCATCAGCATCGAAGAACTCAGTGTTAGAACTCTGCGCACTCGTCCAACTCTCCCTGGGAATCTTGTCTCTGAGCCAGGTAAGAACAGCGTCAGTGCCCTTCTGCAGCACCTGTCGATTAGGTACCCTGAACTTGTTGCCTTCCACTTCAAAGCCTGTCAGGGTGCCTTGCAGCAATCCAATTCGCGGTTCTAGACGCTCAATGTCGTTGTTGCCCAGGTTTACAATCCTAAGGTTATGCAAGCTTTCAGGCGAGACCTCGGAGATCCTGTTGTCGGATGCGAGGAGGGTGGTGAGCGCGGGGAAGGCTACATGGAGCGTTGGAAGGGCACCGGCGAGACGGTTGATCGAAACGTCCAGCGTCACGAGGAGAGGCGCCGTGAGGTATGTTGTCAGATGCGTGAGAGAGTTGATCTTGTTACTGGCGAGACGGAGATCGCGTAGCTGAGGAAGTTCGATGGGCGCTGACAGAGGTACTTCAATGCTGTTCCTAGACAGATCGAGTAATGTCAAGTGTTCGAACTGCGCTGCTATAGACGGTATGATCTCGAACTTGTTGCGCTGCAGATGCAATTGACGCAGTCCGTTGACCATGACCTCCATGGTGACTTCATCCAACTCGAGTTCAGACATGCTCTTGTCCGCGAGGTCTAGTGTGCCTGAGGGTGTAAGTTGCCACTTCGGCTGAGCCTCTTCTGTGACACCATTCTCGAATTCGTCATCCACGTCGGCTGAGACGTCCGCTGGTAGTCGCGATGCCAGATCGCGCTTGATATCATCGGTGCCCATAGTAAGAAATTTACGATCGCGCAACGGGTTAGCTGCAACAGTGAGGTGTTCGAGATGTTCCATCAAGGCAATCTTTTCATCAAGCTGAGTGATGTCGTTGCCCGTGAAGTCTGCAGTACGTAGTTGTTGAAGCGTCACGAAACCCTCTGGTAAGGTTGAGAGTTTGTTCTCGCCGACTAGCAGCGTCGTCATACTGATCCAGGTCGATACTTCAGGGAACGACGTAAGTCTGTTCGTGGAGACATTGAGCGTCTTGAGAGCAGGCAATTCAACCACATCGCCATCGCACAGAGACGTGAGAGAGTTTTGTGCGACGTTGAGTTCCTGTAGATGAGGTACTGAGCTCAGGCTGAGAAGTGTACCCTCCAGACGGTTCTTCGACGCTTGAAGCTCGACAAGGGTTGCAGAAAAGACTTCGCTAGGAAGGGATCGGAGCTGGTTGTCCGACACATTAAGTGTCCGCAACTGCGTCAAACGCTGCATGTCTGCCGGTATGCTTGTCAACTTGTTCGATTGCAGCTCGAGGACCTCTAATGCTGTGAGATCGCATATCGCTGATGAGAGATCTCCGTTGAGATCGTTTTCTGCCAGCTTCAACTCCCTCAAGGTGGGAATCTGAGCGATGACGTCCAACATCTCCATAGGCAACTTGTTCCGTGACTAGGCAATGTTAGCTACAGGGTATCGTCTGTTTTACTGATTGTGGCACTTACAAGGTTCAGCTTCGAGAGCTGCGTAAGTCGTCTCAGGCCTACGGGCAACTCTCGCAGCATGTTACCGTGGAAGTCGATGCTCTGTACACCTCCAAATTGAGGTCCAGCCTCATCCGAATCAATCATGTCTTCAACTGATACATCAGGGAACATGCTGTCGGGAAGAATCTCAAGCTCGTTGTCTGCAGCCAGGATAGTGGACAGGTCTACTACCTCGCCCCAGGCCACCTTGGTATCGTTGGGGTCGTAAATGTACATGGAAAGTACGTCGTCAGGAATCTCCTTCAGTCCCATCGCAGCGATGTTGAGGCGGCCATCTGATCGGGCGGTATCGATCCGTCTGCGCAGCACAGACTTGCCACCCTTGGGGCGCTGGTTGAAGGGATCGTCATCGAGACCAAAGTCAAAGGTCGCAATCTCGGCAGGATCGGGCACGATAACATCGGTGGGTGGAGTGCTGTTCCTCGCCGGCTCAGCCTTTGCCTGCTTCGCAGCTGCCCTAGCCTTTGCAATCTGCTCTCTCAGGGCATTGGACGAGCTGGCGGGTTTCGGCGGAGCCTCAGCTGGTGCTTCTTCGACGTCTGCCTTCTTTGCAGCTCTCGCTTTCGCGATCTGATCGCGCAGGGCAGTGGAAGAGCTTGGAACCTTTCGGACGGTATCAGGTGTTTTCTTGACCGGAGTATCCCGGGCTGGTGAGGATGTAGCAGTGCCGGGCGGCGATATTGCTTGACCGAAGACGTTGTTCAGGGACGGCCGAGATCGGGGTGTTCGCATGCCCGTGAGACTCTTGCTATTCGTCAGCGGGCGTGGTTTAGGTGTGTTTTGTAGGTTCTGCGCCGGAGCCAATGGCTGCTTCTTGATAGTCAACACAGGCTGTAGCATCGAAGTACGCCTGCTTGGTGTTGCAGCGGGTGTGCTAACATTTGCACTAACGCTTCTCTTTCCAGGTGCAGTCATAGACAGTCTGTTGGAGGGAGCACCAAAGCGCTTGGGTGTAGCTGGTATCGGGTGCGGGGCACCGTCACTTGTAGATGGCCTGCTGCCGTTGCTGTTCGACATGGCGGATCCGGGTCGCACCGGAGGGGCCATGCTGTTGTCGGCATTGAAGAAGCTCGATCTACGTCTTCCTTTGCCGGGTGCTGGCGAGGATGGCAGGTTGGACAGAGTCTCTGCCGTCCGTTCTGAGAGCGATGGGCGGCCCTTCCTCTTCTCCGGCTTCACAGGACTGATTGGACTGGACAGATCGTCGATAGCTGAGTCCGCATGTTCCGGTTCTGGCTCGTTGTCGCGAAATCCGGCTCTCGAACTTGCCCGCGAGGATGCCCTCGAGGCTGACCTAAAGCCCTCTAGGCTTCCCAGTGTATCATCCTCTTTGGCAGGAGCGATCGAGGATGAGCGCGATGCATTCGTCTGACGTGACGGTGGACGGGCAAATGGCCGCTTGAAGACGGGCGCATCGCTGGTACTTGAGGCGGCGGTCGAGGTCCGCCTTGAGCCGAAGTTGGGAATGCCGCTCGCCCTGCGGTTCGACGAGGGCGCGATGGATGAGCGTTTGGAGGCTGTATTGTCAGGTACAGGGCTCGAGGCCGTCAGGGGGTTGCTGGAGTAAGCAAGGGATGCTCTCGACGTCTTCTTCTGCAGCGTCGACGTGGTCGGGCGCGAGATAGACGACAGCGACGGCTTCTTGCGCAATTGCTCTGTCGAGGCGGGCGCGCGCAGCTGGGAATGGCTGTTGGACGGCCTGAGTACAGGGAGTCGCGAAGCCGGTGCCGGCCGTGGGATCCCAGACGGGCGCGGAATGGACGAGGACTGGTCCATGGTGATGCTGTCAGACAGCGCGCTATACGATGCAACGCCTAAGGGTTGGGAAGTCGTTCATGCAAGACGGCACAGGCGAAACACACGTCCAACCAGATTAAGGGTCCTCCACTTGTCGCCAGGTTGCTTTTCGAGAACCAATTCTCCGCGCCGGGTGCAGAGGGGCGTCTGAGCGAGCGGGAGGCGACCGTTGCCCCGTGAAACCAAAGGGAGAGCCATGTTTCTGTTGCGCTGACAGGTCGGGCCTAGCGCCGGTTGGTATTGAGCAGGGACGACCGGCGGGTCCTTCCTCAACCTCGCTCCACGCGCCTTCCGCACCGACGACATCGTCACCCACACACCCAACACACCCGTTACGAGCGCCCTGTCTTCTGCAAACACCTGTTCGCTGCCGTTTGCACGCTATCACGGTCGCATAACCCCCGCGACTTCTTTTTGGCAAACGCGCATCGACGCGCACCCCTGCACCCACCTTATCGTATTCGTCACCTCTACCGCGTCGCCCACCACGCCAGCTCCCCAGCTCTTTGACACCTCTCCCCCCGCGTGTCACAGTTGGACTGGACAAAGCGCAATTCTTCTCGACCAAACACCGCCTCCATATCTTCCTGACGTGTGTCGCACTGCGTGGGCCAATTGCGCCTGAGGCAGAATGGAGTCCCACGGAACGCAGTACCAGGACTCATTGATGCCTACGACTGAGAACGCACAACCCGAAACACCACCCAAGCTTTGTTCTCCATCGCCCGCTGAGTCGGCAGCGCTCGCAATGTCAAAACTTGCATCCCCAGACCACAAGTTTACCTCCCCCGCACCCCGGACTACCTCTTCCATGACCCCTCCACCCTCTTCTCAGATCCCAAACATGCGTGCAGTCATGAGGACGCCTACTCCCCCGACTCCACAGCTCACGTCTCCCCCACCAACCAGCAAACTGCCCAATCAGCCGTCTGCTTTGACAGACATGGGTGCAGGTCTCTACCCGCAGGACCAAGTCAACAGTGCTTCTGCTGAGGAGCTGAGAACCATGGTCAACACCATCTCCAATGCATTACGCGACATGCGACTCTCCGCAGCCCACTACAAGCTTCAGTACAACATGGCTGTAATGGAGAGTCAGGAGTCTGCCAGCCGCATGGCTGTCGAGCTAGCCATGGCTCAGAGAGAGCTTGACGTTCTGCAGCAAGCTGAAGAGAAGCGCCGCAACAACATGGTCACCCCAGAGCAGACCTATCAAGAGTCCGCCAATGCAGCCAATGCAGTCTTGCTATCAGAGATGGGTCGCCAGAACCAGATGTTGCAGAGTGAGAACGAGGAGCTTCGCGACATGCTTGAGCAGCAAAAACGTCTTACTGAGCACCGCGAAGGCGAGCTTGCTAGCCTGCTGGATGAGAATGACCGTCTGAAGACGAGGATTCGTAAGAATCGCGACCACATCGCACCTCTTCTTGAGCAGATCGAACAGTCTTCACCGCGGTCGAATTACGGCACACCTCATCAGCCAACTCCCAGAAATCGCGTCAACCGTGTGCCGCCTGCTCTGTCCGAGGAAAGCAGAAGTCAGAACAACTTCGAAGCTCTTCTCCTAGCCGACAAGATGCTGAGTCAGGAGGTCGCTACTGCGCCCACGACCCCCATCAGGCAACACGCCCCCAGATCACGCTTCAGTCACCAGCGAGGCGCGCAGTCCATGTCATCGCTGCCACAGACCCCGAACCGCAGAGCTGCCTACCCTCAGGTACCCCGCACACCGCCACTTTTCGTGCCAACCAACATCCCTCAATCCGCACCACCAGCGCACTACCAAGCCAAGCCATCCAACACCCGTCGCCAAAGCAGCAACTCCACCATCACCGCCTCCAGCGTCGACGAAGAAGAAGCCTTCACCGACCGCGAGGAGGACGAAGTCCCCGAATCCCAGGCCAGCCAGATGGCACGCAACCTTCTGCAAAGAGCACCACCCACCAAAGGCATGATGTCTGCCCCACCATCAGCCCAGCCAACCAACCTCGTCCAAAGCAAGATATTCGGCCAAGTCAAGAAAGGCTCCGGTCTAACCCGTGCCGGCGAGCTAAAGCGCGGCCGCATGCCCTCGACAGCGGATCTCCGCACTCAGACAAGTCCGCCGAAGCGCGGACGCGTCGATCAAGGTGTAGGTCTCGGCATTGGCGGCTTGCTGCGAGAGTAGAAAGAACATTGTTCCTGACCATATGCGGCAGGGAGTTTATCAAGCTTATTGAAAGTTTGGTGGTTTTTTACGATTCTGATGATTCTTGGCGGCCAACTTTCTGAGGGAGGGGTCGTTTTTGCTTTTTGCTTTTTCTGATTTTGGATAGCAAGGTTTGGATACCCTTCATGCAAATGAATGCTGTTTGAGCATGGCGCTAGCTAGCGCGGCTGACTTTGAGGTTGGCTGATAACCTTTATGATTGTTTATGGATTATGGCGGTTGACATGTGGGCTTTTTTGGATACCATGTGGAGGGAAGTGAGGGAGGGAGGTTTAGTCTAGACAGAACTTGAAGTCAATGTATATGCGCATTATCCGCTCACACGAGAGATCATGGTTCCTGAATGAATGTGCTCTGTTTCTAGCCTTCTCAATCCTTTAATACTCTACTCGTAATCCCATCCCCATCATTTCACGATCTTCACCCACTTCCTCCCCTCACTCCCCTTCTCCATCAGATCAAGCGCCTTATGCCACTCCACCGCCTCCTTGAACCCTACAAACCCCTCCTCCACACTCTTCCCCTCAACAAACCCCTCATACAACATCCCCACGTTCTTCGCCATCGGCGCCAACTCCCTAACCACCTCCTCATACTCCACCTCCACCGTCTCCACACCATCCCTCTCATGATCATACACCTCGATCTTCTCTCCGCCCATACCAAGATTCAGCATCGTCGCAGAAGTAAATCGAATCTCACCCCTCGTGCCGAAAACGCGCCATACGAGACCGGGTGTGTCTTTGAAGGTTTTGCCGTGGCGTAGGGCCATGGAGATGGGCGCGGAGTTGTTAAGGAGAATGCCTTGCAGCATGACGTGATCGGGTGTTTCGCGCTTGGCAATGCGGTCGAAACTCATGTCTGCTTTGAGCAGTTTGGTCTCTGGCCAGCGGGTGGTTAATAGCGCGGAACATTCTTCCAAACCACCCAGAGCGTGGAACACGGCATCTGCGGTATGGCCAACAATGATGCTGAGGAAACTGCCGCCACTCTCTTTCTTGGTCATGAAGTCGTTGGCGGGGGGTTCGACGTCGCCCGGCCATCCCATTTCGAAGGTCAACGTGGAACTGAGGATGTCACCGATGGTCTTGTCCGCGACGAGCTGCTTCATCTTGCGGATGAAGGGGCTGGAGCGGGATTGCAGACCGACGATTGTCTTGGATCCGCTGGCCTGGGCTGCGGCGTGCATTTCCTGGGCTTGGGACAGGTTGGATGCGAGGGGCCATTCGACGAAGACGTCTTTGCCTGCTTTGATGGAGGGCATCAGGAGAGCGTAGTGTCTGTCTACTCGGACGGAGCAGACGACGAGGTCGACATCTGCGTCCTGAGCTAGATCATCGGGGTTGCCGTAGGATTTGGTGGTTGGGGGCAGGTTGTAGCGTTTGATAGCTGCTTGGGCGGATGAAACGCTGGAGTTGCAGAGGGCGGTGATCTCATAGTGAGGTGAGGCCAAGAGGTAGGGCAGGTGAGCACTGCGTGCGTGGGTTAGTTGGGATTGGGATTGGGAGTTGGGAAATAGTGTATATACCTGGCTGCCCAGCTGTCTCCTGGACTGGCGGAGATTTCGCCAGTGACGGAACTGAGTCCGATGAGTCCTACTTTGATGGGCATACTGATGAGTTGAGGCTTTTGCTGTTGATGAGTGTACTGTTGTAAGGTGGTGATGATGGGATGTAAGATTTATCCTACCAATGCAGGATATATAAATCAACACAGCGATGCCGTTTGTTCGTCCGGTTTCAACTTGCCTAGAATCCAGATACATGGCCAGGACCATTGAAAGGCACGCAATACGGTCTATACGGTGGTACTAACTGATAGTCGCATAGGGTACGTAGTGCGGAGTCAGGATATTGTTGCTACTTGTCAGGCTAGCCAGGGTACGACTGTGTACTATCTGACTATCTGACATCTCTGACATGTCAACGCAATGACAGCGCCCAACTTTTCCCCACCGGATGTCTCAAGAAACCACCGCGGAGGGTTTCTTCTCATATGTGCTGAACCCAATGAGTAGGACTAGTATGTCTATCGGGGCCAGGTTTCGGACGAGTAAACCGGAAGATCCGGTGGGTACTCAGCGGAGTGGATTTACTCCGCCGATGAAGGAAAAGCGCGTCCAGTATAGCCGCTCAAGACGTGATAGACACTCAGATACTCGGCATTACTACGGCATTTTCACTCATGGAGGTTGGTGTGCGAAAGCGCCACGCAGGTTGTAGGGACTTCGAGGGCAGGTGTGTTCGGCTAGCACGAGTAGTCGGCCCGACACCTTCCCCTCATTAGTCATCTGAACGCGCCCCAGACGCGGGCGCGTCCTTTTCGTGCTTTTCCGTGTGCTCTGACGTAACCCGAGCACCACGAAGGAGCCTTCTCCGTGGAAACGTAGCATCGTTTTCCAGCATGGCTAGGTAATGTAAAGCTGCATGCCACGATGTTGCACGCTGGTGCTGAACCAACGCCATCGGCTCTCTTCGTCACGTACTCACGAACCTTCCAATACGTCGTCTTAGGTCACAACAGATTGTCTAGATGAACGCACCACGCAACGCGATGAGTTCCAGTGCAGCGCGTAAACACCTCAGCAATGTATTCCCTTGGATCACATCACCCTTCATCGTCGGAGCGCCAATGCGCGTCATGTCTGGTCCGCGCCTAGCTCTTGCAGTGTCCAAGGCAGGTGGCCTAGGGTTCATTGGGCCTGGCGCGAAACCCGAAGATACCGCTACGGATCTGAAGAAATTGCGCAAACTGCTCAAGGACGTACCAG